GGATCACGAAAGTTATATATAGTTATGAGGGAGGATCACTTCAATAAAATAACATTTAAAGGGGGGATCGGCTAAATTTCATCGTGTTTAGCCCAAAATCCTCCGACCCCCCCAGGCGATAAATAATGATCGGTCCCTTAAGTCGTATACCAATGAGGAAAAATGTGAACAATGACATCAGCTAAGATTGGCCTATAGCACTGATATATTACAAGAGTATCTAATGAAAAATGGGGGCGAGATTCGGGATTGAAACTATGCCAGTAATGTGGGATGCTTACCTTCTGGATTACAGGAGTGGGAAAAAACCTGGGATCCGTTTCTCCAAAGTCCCGGAAACTTTTCGAGTCCGGAAAACTGGTTTGTATTTATTCAAGATCAAAGTTTCAATAATTTTAAAAACGATAAAATGAAACTGTCAGTTATCGAAGGGAAATTGGCTGGTTCATGGGCTAGGAACTGTGCAGGTTTGGATTTTAAAATTTGCCTTCGGGATCGAAAAGTTTAAATTTTGGGGCTTTCGAGAAACGGGTCCCTGGGTCGGGATGACGAGATTGATAAGCCGTATTGGACAGCCACTGTTGTTGGAGATTCTCCTCGTGCATCAGTTAATTATGGATTCTCCATACAGAGCTTTTTAAATTTGTGTATATCATTTCCCGAATATCTCGCATATGAAAAATTGTAATGACCTGAAAGTTAGCGAAGTCTGTGCTTTGCAAAATTTACCTCCTTTTATTTCCAAGATCCTGAACTTTATTTATTAAACGGATTTGATTTTCATTTTTGATGGGGTAACAGTGAAAACCAGCAATCTTCCCTAAAAGCCGCTAAAATGACACTGTTAGTACATTTCACGGCCGTTTTAAGCTTTCTTTGCTTTCGTCACATGCACAGTATCCTCATAGTTGATGAGTTCATCATTTTTAACATTATGATAATATTCATTCTCCAACTCACTTATTCCCTCTTCAATTTCATCATCGCTTAAATGCTGTAATAAACTTAAAAAGCGGCATCGATATTCTTCGTACAACTTGGATTTTGTCACAGCCGCAGAAAAGGAGAACTCTTGATGGGAAATATTTGCATTCAAACCGATTTCCCTTAGCAACGGAGATGAGTTTTCCTTCTCTCCCTCAAAACATTGGCTCAAAAGTTTTTTTACACCCTTGAATGACGGAAGACTGCTCTTGACGGTGTTTATCTGCACATAAAAACCCCCTGGGCGAAGACTACGAAGTATTCCCTTATAAACCGCATTGGAATTAACAAAATGATGTGCACTTATAGTAGCTAGCACTCTGTCAAATCTTTCTCTGATTTGCGGGTTCGCAAAAAATACTTCGGCCGTTTTCACAACCGGGTAAACCCCTTTCTTTTGTCGAGCAACTTCTTGCATTTCCACGATGGGGTCTACACACCAAATAGGATTATGAAAAACGGTTAACCAGATGTTATTTAAGATTTGGTACCCTCTAAAATTACAATTTCTAACCAACAAAACCAGGTAATCAGAGTACACTAGGGAAACAGGGAAACCCTGCAATGTATCTACCTCCAAAAAACCGAAGACGGCGTTCAGCGACAAATTCAGTTCCTATACGTAAATCATCTACCATCTTTGTGCGCCAATCACCGCGATCGACAGACACTGGTGCCTGTAATAGGTCTTGCCCTGTTAACATGCCGATTCCTTGATGGAGCTCATTTTAATTGACCCAAATTTTTGTTAAGCCTTTTTCCTCTTCCCATCGTCCGCAGCACGCTTTCTGTTTTCGATTATTGCTAATTTTAATGAGATACTCATCGGAAACCTCTGCGGACCAGAGAGTGGATAGACCAAAAAGTGTTTCTAATGTGTTTAGGAGAAAACCGTGGTTATAAGGGTGCCACTGTCGGATGAGATGCACCTTCTCCTGTATTTCACTTTTTGGATTATGATGTGCGTTGTACCTACTGCTTACCTAATACATCGAATAAATGACCGTTGCCATCGGAATTAGTGTCCTCTTTTTGCGATTTCGCCATTTCTGATCGGCAATCCATAAGACCAGCAATCTAAGGAAGAAAAGAGAATTTTGACGCAAAATAATTATGGATAACGACATTAGAAAGACTCAAATATAAAGGGTAAAGAGGGTGACAAATTTTAGATGTTTTTGTTAAAATTTTTCACATAATTGATCCGATAACCCGATCATTTGCCCACAACAGGCAATAGAGAGAAAAAGTGTGACGTCACGTTACCATGGTAGCAAAATTTCTGGATCACAACAGTAGGGAGGTTAAGCAACGCTGACGGCGACAGCAACGAGAACGGGAAAACAGCAAGAAGTTTATGTTTACAAAACAACAACTTTGCACGTAGATTACACATTTCTCAGTCGTCGTTGCACTACTGCGACATGAAAAATTCTAATTTCACGCACCGGCCTAAGGAGTACGTAAACACAACACAGCAATTTCCTTTCTCGTTTCTAAACTTAAATACGGTCCTTTCGGATTTAACCCCAGAAAATTTCGCGAACATTATTGGCAAATTAAATGATAGTGAATAAGATCGATGAAGTTTGAAACAGCGCAAATTCACTAGCTTGCGAAAACATCCGTTTCTCCTCGCTCTTCGCCGATGGGAACGTTTCGCGCGGAGGAACGTCTGCGACTCAGCGACAGAACTTCCACACTAATGACGTAAAATCTGTCCGGAATCCGGTCAGAAGCGCTGATTGGTGGACGAAGTAGCTACATTGTTTTAGATATTGTTTACGAACCCCATAACAAGCCGCACGATCTTAGCAACCAAAAAAACCCCTCAGTATCCAGCTGAGATAGCTGAAAGTCAGCTATCTCAGCTGGATAGCCAGTACCTTGCAAAATTTCCTATTCCATTAATCTCTGATCGTATTTCGAATCTAATATGATAGAGGCGTCAATTTTCACGTAATCAGGTCATCATCCTGGGGCGAGAAATGAAATTAATTAAAAGCACGGTATCTAACAAAATGTACCGAGAAAGTAATTCAGTGCCTTCTAAAAAGAACATTTTAAAGTCTGCGGTCGATCTCATTGCCAACACAGGCAAGAACGATTAAATATCTATAGTTCAATATTACCCAATTTCGTTAGTGCTCCCCTTATTGTAGCTCGATGCCGTGTAGCACATTTACATTGATTTAGTACGAAGAAAACATAGGATATCTTTCTTTCTACGGGTGGAAATGCTAAATGTGTTATATATTTCACAAGCGCTTTTTTTTCATCTGTTCGGATTTCCTAGCTGAGAGTCTAGTGATCCGAAAATTATAGGGATCAAAACTTACCTTTTCGAAAATTTCAGCCAGAAAAAGGCTCCCGAAAATTCTAGGTGACCTTTTTAGGGTAAAACTCCGTTAAAAATGGGCAATTATACTATTTTGGGGTAGCCTGCGTAGCAGGCGTCGAAAGGGGTAGGGGGTAGGGAATAGGGAGGAAGGGAAAAAGGGGAGGGGGATTGGGGAGAGGGGGAGTGGACGCCTGCTCTAAGAACCCCCTTTTGTTCATATCTGCGGACGCTGATTGGCTGAGCCGTAATGAGTAACATATTGAAATGCGCGTTTCACAAATCAACAAACAGTCGAGATGGCAGCGGTAGACGTGGATGTCGTAGAGAGTGCTTTGAGAGATGTGAATTTATCTAGTGGTAGAGAAACTGTTTTAAAACCAGAGCAAGAATCAGCAGTAAGGGCTCTTTTAGCCGACAGAGATGTTCTGGCGGTTTTGCGGACCGGATACTGCAAGAGTTTAATTTACCAAATGTTTGTACGCGCGAAGAACTACGAGCTAAATGGTAATGCAGCGATTCTCGTCATTTCGCCACTGAAAAGTATTATCGAAGACCAGTCGCAGGAGATGGAATTGTTGGGCTTATAGAGCTTATTTAAGGGATTAGGCGCCCATCCAGCGAAAGATTTAGCCAATTTATCGAACGATGACATTCGCCGATGTAACTTAGCAATAAAAGAGGGTGGTTTTACCTCATGCCAAAATGCTGCTTATATCCAATAAAGTTGTTTTTATCTGCTGGGTAGATTATGCTCTGGTCTGCATTTATACTGAGCAAATGTTATTTAAGCCGCATGTTTCACACTGAGAGGTCATGACATACATATCGATTGACTGTAGTTATTGTTTTCTGGTCGGCAGGATTTGCCCTCTGATGCAAGCGCAATATTCATTGACCTCTTTTGAAGCGTAAAGCTTTCTTATTACGGCTGAATAAGGGTTCCAATTTTCTCCAAAGTGCCTTCTGGATCTGAATAACTTATCGAATTTCTTTAGTCCGTGAGTGTAATGTTTTTCTGCATGGCGAGTGTAGCGACACTTGATTGACAGTAAGCGTAATCGGATTTCTAGAAAATTGGTAGGCGTTATGCAAAAACATAGGCTCTTAGAGCAGGCGCTCCCTTCCCTTTTCCCTTTCTCCCTCCCCCCTCCCCCTCCCATTTTTGCGCCTGCCACGCAGGCTAATTTTGGGGGGGGTCGAAAATCCTAGGAGAGGCAGGCAAGCAAGAAATTTAACAACAAATGTTCCGAAAATTCTAGATCTCAAATCGTCTTCCTAACAGATATTTTCCAGAAATTGTCGTTGGGTGCCCCTGAAGAATAAGGTGTAGAAATCGAATGGCTTGAGAACTAAGTCGTTGAGTCTACTTACCGATCACAACATGTTTTGGGAGTAATGAGAAGCGCGCCAAACGAGGTTGTCGCAGCGTTCTGGAGCGAACAAGGTCACGACCTGGATTGATGAAATTACCATTGCACAAGCTAACATGCCAGTAATTTCTCCTTTCGTCGCATAGACATTCTCGGTTTTCATTCACGTGAGAAAGCAGAAATAAAAATGGAAACCTTTTAATACAGAAAGTCTAGAATCTGGGAAATGAAATAAAAGATAAATATACAAAAAGCCTTGCCAAGAATCATATGCGAGATATTCGGAAAAACGTTTTACCCAAATTTTAAAGCTTTATTATGGAGACGCTATGTTTGTGTCCCTTTCAGGGGCACAAATATGGCCGCCGGAAACCAACACAAACATGTGTTTTTGAGTTTTCCTACTTATGCGTGAATTCTTCGCTTGACGAACTCATAAAGATTAAAGCAATATTTATTCTAAGACAAGGAATGTTTAGATAGCAAAATCTCCAAAAATCCGTAATGTTTTTAACCCACTTAAGAGCTTTCCCGGCCGCCAGCCAAATGCCGCATCACGCAAAAGCCGGGAAATTCAAGCGCCCTGTATCAAAAAACGAAGAACCCTTTTGAATGGAAAATTTGTTTGTGTAAAGGTTTTAAGGTGCTCTAATATCACGTGAAAGTAGAAACTCAGAAGAAGCGATAGTTTCTTAGTTTGAATTTTGGTGACGTCATGTAAAAACCAAGAATAGTGAATGGTTATAAGCACATCCTCGACTCTCGAAACATTCGTCTTGCGCCGCTATTGAGTTCCGTTCCGGCGAATTTCCCGCTTGACAAAATTTTTGATAATTTATGCAAAATTGAACCTCGTGAAAGTCAGAAGTGCATTTAGTGACTTAAAAATAAACAGACTTCCTCCACAGGGTTTTGAACACGATTTAATTAAAGTACTTTACGAGCGCTGCGGTAGTTGGCCGCAAAAGTCGTACGATGATAGATACTCAACTGGACGATTACGTCACTACATAGCAACCAGACGCTACGCATTTTTTCACTTCCGGAACGCTGAGGCTGGCGATGACAGACAAAAGACAAAAGGCCACAAAGGTAAAATGTAAACGCGAAGAATCGCTAACAAAAGAGTCAATATTTGTGAAATATAGTCTTCTCTAGAAGAAACATTTGAGTTTTGCTGGAGCTCGTTGGCAGATGAACACAACACTTTACCAAAATCGACCAGAAGACACGTAAAATTGAACAAATTTGTATTTGGAACCCCATGACTACTGGATTTATTATGTAAACATTGGTTTGCGTCATCAGTATGGAATTTCTGCCGCGGAGTCGGAGACGTTCCTCCTCGCGTCCCCAAAGGGGAAGAGCGAGGAGAAAGGGATGTTTCCGCAGGCTACAAATTCACTTTCAAATTCACTGAGTGACGTTTCGGTTTGTGGTCATCCAGAAATTTACTACCATGACAACGTGACGTAACGATTCCTCCTCTCTATTTGATGCGTTTGGTGTCGCGCCACACAGTCACGAAAGATACAGGGTAAGAATTCTCAATTACAGTGTTTAAGCATAAGAAAAACAAAAAACTCCAAATGCGCTTCGGCATAAATTTTGAAGTAATTTCATAAGTAAGTTATTCATTAGTAATTTACAAATGGATCAATCATTGGAATCAATATAAGTCTTTAGAGGATCTAAAATGTTAAAAAAACTATAATTATGGTAAGGGGCCGTCAGCATATGCACTTTTTGCCCGCTTAACGTCAACTGGACGTTTAGGGGAGCGTGTACGTAAGGGAGTGGGCGTTACTGGGGGGGGGGGGGATTTTTTGACAAGGGGAAAACGGTGGATTTTTATAAATTTTAAATTTTTAAGTTTGCCTTTTAAAAAAAAGTTGGAAAGAGCCCACGCCGGACCCCCGTCAACATCCCGACTCCGATTCCGGTTTCTGCTTTGAAAAAAAAAAAAACCCCGAAAGAACAAGGAACTGA